ACTTATTCAACTATCGTTACTTCAATCAGTTGTATAATCCTTTTCAACGTAAATAGAGTGAGGATATGAGAATGTTGATTAATGTATCGTTATATAACTGCTTTTAATATAGATGATATACAATGCAGTATACGCAATAAATGATATTAGCCCCTCACACGCGATAGCGAGCGTGAGGCATGTCTAAGAATCAGTGATTAGTCCGTGAATACGTGTATATGTGAGAAATATCAGAAAAATGGATCATTTAATTTCCCGGTAGTCTTGTTACTAGTTGTGGCATAGATTGTAAACTTGTACTTTGATTGCAGTGTAACATCTCTTTACCTGGCCTAAGTACATGTAACCCTTAAAGGATGGCGGTCGTTGCACCACGCATGCGCAAGATATGAGTCTCATGTGAACAAAGATGGCGACTTTGACTGAAACGTTGCCGAGCTTTAATTTAGGTAATATCTTCGGTGAAAGAAAGGTATCGGTAATTAGATCACGTCGCGCCCAGGTCAAAATTCGTGTTCCATTAGAAAGTGCATTGGATTGTGGGAAAATCAATGTTTATCAACACGAATGTCGCACACGCGCGGCGCGACGACCAGTTAGTTGATTGAATATCGTTTAGTAATTTGGGTTATTTACATCATTGTTGTAGTTTATTGTAAGTATTACAACACTACATCGTCTCAAACTTTTAAGGTTTGCGAAATGTGATAAATGTGAAGGTAATAGTAACGTAGGCAGGATTGTTTTCGCCTCAACCAAATACAAATTCACGTACCGCAAATTAAACTACAGGAGACGCACGTTTCAATTCAACCTCAAAATAGATCATTATTGATCGGAAAAGATTTGAGAGGGAACTTTATGCATATATTGTACTGTTGCAACGTTTAGTGAGCGAACATATCCGTTTAGGCTTCACGCCACAATTATGTACCCAAGAATTTGATTCCTCGTTTTTGACGCATTTATTATTCTGCTGTGATTTCAAAACTTGACAGATCGCTCTTTTTTTTAAAAAAATGTGTATTCAACTCATTGATTTTATATGTAAAATAGATATGCGTTCCGAGTTTTTACATTGTCGTTTTTTGGGAAATTAATTGCCGTATGAAACCGGTAGTGAGTTGACAGCTTAGAACACCATTGCAACATGATTATTTCTATAGGTTAATGTAGTTAAAGACAGGGCATTCATTGCTGTGTAATGCATACAATACACAATAATTCAGTTTAGCAGAGTCCAAATGGGACAGATAGCCCGCGATACATCGAGCGCACGAGTCCATCAGCGCGTATTCATAAACGGCACAGTATCCATTACAATCCATCGATTGATTCACCGGGGACACAATAGCAAATCAAAATAGAGATACCTAATTGAAAAGATTCTCAGAGGAGATAAGAACGCGGAAAATTAGTTTCCCTGAGTTCAAATACAATGCGAGTGGATTAATTGAATTAGTAGGTCCGTAATTCTCGGTTCGTCAAGACGTGAGGTAGAACCGTTGGGATTGAATACGTTATTAAAAGTGAACGTGTCATCGTTCGAATTTGCATAATTTGCACGTGAGTATTCATTACCTTGAATAGGTCACCGTAAAAGGTTGGGAATGCTGATTTCTGTTTCCAATGATCAGATTTTGCGGCGAATCATATTTTAGAATTCTTTAATCTTATTCAATCGATTAGTTTATATCTTTCATGTCACGTGACTTTTAACATTTGGTAGTTAAGTGGCGGATTTATCGTATTCCGACTAACCTATATTTATATATTCCTAGGCTATGTTGAAAGGTCAAAGCTTTCTGCTTTTTAACTATCTATCTTGGCTTGTACCATGAACGTGTGTGTTAAAAAAATATCTGAAATATTCAATGATTTAGTAAGCACAGTATACTAAAAAAGTCTTGCTCTTCTTACTTCAAACGATATATGTGTTTGTACTGTCCCAGTGGTAGAATACAATACATTTATAAACTCATAGTAGCTACTAACATAAGAAGTAAATTGACCGAATACTATACCAAATACAAGTTAAATACTGTGTGAAATCAACGTAAACCTCACTGTACGTGCGCGCGCTCGGTGATTTTTTTGCCGTACGCGAGCGTCGATTAGAGTCACGCATACAGAACATATTTACTTTGTTTTGTAATGCTACTTATTGGCTCATCTCTATGTTCTAACAGTCCCTACATGTGATAAGAAAGTACTCATACTGCACCCGTTGACTAGTTTATTTGTTCTCAATAATTCTCGTTTACCAGGAAAGTACTGTTAAATGATATAAGCAAGTGATTAGTGGTTGAATGCAGAGTGTAGTTTACTATGATACGTACATGAATCAGGTGCGATTTCTACAGGTCAACGGCACTATTTTCCATCAATTTGGCTGCGGAAAAACTACCAAATTCACAGTATTACTTCGTATATATGTATATATGTATATATATATATATATATATATATATATATATATATATATGTATACTGTCTTATTTTTCTAATAAATTCCTAGTCGATGCACTTTTTTGATCAACGTACGTTTATCTGGCATATAGAATCAAGTAATTGGACTACTAATATTAGCATACGTAATATCGACTGAATTTATTTAATGTACTAGTAATTATGAGTTCATCAAACTATCACGTTGATAATATTGAAGAAATCGGAGTTGTGCACTAAAATTACTTCCCATTTCGTTTAATACGAAGACAGTCCGAGTCACCAGTTTCACAATGCTTGTTGGTAGAAATTATCCGCGAAACAGTTTTCATTTTTGTTTAATGCTATGGCTTTGAAATATAGAAAACTGTTTGCTTCTTGCGATATGGTGGATAGAATACTATACTATCTATATACTTGTATGAATATGTTTATATTATCATAACAAAAAACAGAGAAAACGTATAATACAACAAAGAATAATACATTCCAGACTGTGAAAGATTCAACTTCGTAAAATGAACATGAATATCAGTGTTTGAAAAACCGCACTCATTCTCCCACAACTCGGGGCAGTGTTTTTGATCTCAATTAATGGATCGAAATCATAACATTGACCAGAATCGTCCGCTTTCACGTCAAACTTTCTATCCAGACAAAACCCTATGCCATCCGAGTTAGAAACACCGATTGCGGTCTCCTCCAACGTCGCATTTTGACACGCCGCGAAGAATTTATGGCAGAAGTTCTCGCACACTGACAGATGTTGGTAGGAATAAAATAGATGCTGTCGAGGTGAGCACACCCAACACTTTAGGTACGTGATCCATTCCCGGCATTCATTGCTGGTAGACTGTGGTCCAGTAATGGTGAACAACACGTCGATCTCACTCTGGGTACAGCACGAATAGTCTTTATACCACCTACAATCCACCAAATCTAGTTGTCGTTTTGGCACACGGTTTTGAAAATATGGGCAAAACGCAATGCTTTCATCATTTTCTACAGATTCTTCGTTCTCCAGTTCAACTGTACCAACAGTAGCATAGAAAAAGAACTGCAGACTGATTTGTATGAAAGTAGCCTTCCAATTTTCCATTATGTTATTCTTGGTGAAAATTTAATTCCAATTTCGATATAATTGTCATTAATGGCGTTATTGACATTACGAGCGATTCTTACTTGTTATCGTCGTTCCACGGCGCGTATATAAAATGTTTCCAATATAGTTTACCATCATTTACGAATTATTCCTGAAACAATAAGGGAAAACAATTTGTGTTAAATTAGCTACCAATGTGTTCAGAATGAATGAATGAATGAATGAATGAATGAATGGACAAATTGTCTAGGTTGTGAAAACAATGATATTGAATATCGAAATGAAATTTGAACTACATTAACGTATTTCCCATACACTGGTGTAAATTTCATACTCACTCAAAACATCTGGGTAATTTTCAGCTCGTGTATATTTATATGAACCGAATAAATTTAATAAACACAATAAACATAGTTAAAATAGTGTGCCACTATTTACAACGAGAGCAGACATTCTCACTACAGTTCTGACTACATTTACGCGACATTCATATCGGTCAGTCACGTGTACCATAACGCAGTATCATTATGGAACCATTCGTCAATGCCAAGTGCATGAAATAGTAATATTTTCCATCATTACTTGCTATTCATGGGAATATACGAAGGCCTAAAAATTACTGTATTCTAGGTAGAGCGTATATTCAGTCCTATATTCACCTTCGTGTTAAGTTATTTGTCACTACAATGAATGTGACGCACACAATTCCTCGTTCTTGGATTATACTCTAATCCTGAACGAACGTGTCACGAAAAAGGGTAATTCTATTTATCGCACAGCACTGAGACTTTGTCACTGTTTGCTGCAATTATTACATAGTGATTTACGAAACTCGTCTTTTCACGTTCTTTGTCATGTACGGTGACGGGGATTTCAATTTGAGTAACGAGTTTAAAACAGTTATATCAAGTGTTTGTTTTGTGAGTAACCACAACTTATGGCGCAATTCCAATGTCTAATATTGCTGAGCAAATGTATTTTATTGACAATCTGTGATATAGAGCTAATCGCTAAACGTGTAAGATCATAGTCGTTTTGTGAAATCAATCGATTTCAAGCTAACACACATACATATCTAATACTAGGTTTATCTTTTAATTGAGTTCGACACGCTTTAACTGCACACGTGTACTGCTTAACAGCGCCGATCAATTAATTTCTGTTATCTACTTCAAAAAGTACGACAATGCCCCATGGGAAATCAAGTAATCCGTAGACTCGCTCCCATAAATAAGTACATAAATACATACATGAATCTTCTCATCACGGTTACAGTAATACATTATTCAAACCGCAATACTCCCATGAAGCATTTGATATATGTAATATGTGGAACATATGTATATTAATCGCTTATTCATTTCCTCGCCCAGTTTAAATATATATGGTGATAAATAACAAATAACATTTATGTTGTACGATAATTCAATCGTTGAAACAAACAACATTTTTGAATAAATTAGTTTACTGGTGTTTAAAATAAAAAAAAATGGGGGCATATAGCACTGTGGTTAGATTTTGTGTCACCATATTATGATTGCGAAACATCTTATTGAATGTGCATAAAATACGACGTATTTGAAAGTATATCACACTGTGTCGTCCAACCAATGTACATTATATTGTATTTTTTTAGATCCGTAATATTATATTTATCTATTCTTTAGTCTCCTCCCCCGTTCTTTCGGTGGGAACTTCAAAAGAACAGAACTCAAAAACCGCGCCTTATTGTCAAATAAAACTTGTCTCCTGCTTACATAGTATACAACTCACAACTTATTTGCTATACCCGAGTCTGTAGCACATATGCAGACATTTTTCAAACAAATGGATTGTCTTCTTTTGTTCAAAACTACAAAAATACAATAAGCGTGTGGTTAAATACAATAACACTTTAAACGGCTAATCTCAGTTGGCATCAATGCCACTTGTCTGATGTAGACCTGAGGTTTTAAACAGTAACCATTTTATAGCGTGGATTCCGCATTTGGAATCTGTTATGCTCACTTCATTTAGAATACTTGACATTACTTCTGTTCCTATATTTTTCAATTACTGATTTGACTATGTTCTGTAATGAACCTGTTAATTGTCTCGTTCTCGTGTATGGGAACAATGTACACGTACCCACAACATGTTATATGCTCGTACGACGCGGCACGGGGGCTGAAATTCAATGTTTGCAAACTACTAGTATGGTGTTTAAGATTTGTATGTCGAGTCCACAACTTCACAAAGTACCGAGTAAATTGACTCATACTAGATGGCCCTCTGGAATATCAACTGATCTCTAGTCACCGTGAATAAATACATATCTAATTTGTATCTTCTTACTCACATTACATGACACTAATTCCATGCGGTGTTTGTTATCCTGCAACGAAACTCCTTGAAAATATAATTTCCAGCAATAGGAAACACACGACATATTCTGGGCAAATGTGTTTGTGCATGGAACACTCGTAATCCGGTGTAATTGTATCCAGAGTGAAGTTGTATATACACATTACCGATTGAAACCTATAATTTAAATTGACACTATTAATAAATAATACACGCTTTGGCAAATTGCTAATGACTGACGGGATTAGACCTTACATTACAGTCAATAGAAGGTCGGTGTCCTCGTCAATTCAATATGCACCACAAAAAGTTAAAACGCGAGAAATATTGCTAAGGTGAGAGAGGATCGGTCATTGAGTTAGCAAATTTCTTGATAACTTATATAATGAGGAAAATATTAAAGATACAATATTCGATATGAAAAACAGAGCTTTAATCGTGTATCCCATTCGACTGTCCGGGTTCTTGGGCGAGAACTAGAATACTTGCACGGTTATTTGAATCTTATACAACTGTCACTCTATCATTAATCGCCGCGACTGTCTTTTAATGTGTATGTTTACAGTCTAGCTCTATTTTATTCTGGGTCTAGCATGCAAATAGAAAAGATACAGATATGTAGTTTTTGTTAAAATAGTAAGGTAAGGCGATTTATTGTTTGTTTTCAAGCGCCATCGATTAGTGTTTGATGTAGTAGCATACATTGACGCTGCAGGTCGGCGTCTTCTACACCGATCTGACGCATATGGCGCAAGGTGTGCCGGGAGTTTGTTCGAAACTTCGAACATTTCGAAGTCAATCGTCGATTGGCACGTATTTTACGGATATATTAAATCGTTTCAAGGACCTGTTTACTAAATAATGATAAATGAAACTTAGAAAACTTGTAAGTCTAGAACAAACTGGGCCCAAATTGCGCAAATTTGCAATAAGTTTACACTGCTAGTGTCTGGTTCGGAAGGAGTTCTACGCGTGATTTCATCGCGTTCAAGGACGTTCTATTTTCGAACACGTTGAAAACGGAAATTACGCAAGTACTTTCGAACTTCAAACACAAATTTGATTATCGTTATTATGTGTTAGTTTCTGTTGTTTCAAAGATTGAATTTTTATTGATATTAATATTTCACTCACTAAACAATATTTCACTAAAATACGTGATTAAAAAGCAACTTAAATTGGAAAAAGAAGTATCAAGTTCCGTGTATAAACACTAGTGTAAAGAGGCGGCGGAGCGCTATTTTAGCCAAAATCGGCTAGTAAGGCGTCATATGACACAGGTCTGTGCAATCTCCCCAGGCAGAGTTCTATCACGAATATATCTCTGCCACCACGCGATCTTATGCTTGTCGTTGATTGGCCGATGCGTCACAGTGGTACTACTTTCAAAAACGCGCACCAAACCATTGCAATGCAGGTGTTCGATTTTCGAACCCAACGAAAGCGTGCGCGTTGTTTGTAGATTCTGGCTGTTTTCACAGTGAGAAGCTCATATTTTTACTTTCCTTGGCACAAACGGAGTGGCAATAGAACGTGTTTGCTGTCAATACCACGAAGTGCTTTCTTTTCTTCATATGTCTTCGCCTAGCGATCGACAGGGCCGTCAGCTTGATGAACCGAGTAACACCTTAGCAACCGTTATTCCGCCGCATGAAATTATTTTCTTCTGTAAATTATAACTATTTCACCCTTGACAGTGCATTTACGGAAAAATCGTTATCAGCTATCGATAAAATATTTTAAAACTTGATTTCCAGTAGTAATAAATCAACACGAGATCCCTCTAATAACAAAAATACGCAAATAATACGCGTAGTAAAAGTCTTGTGGTGTTTCACCACAAAATGGCGGTGTGTGGTGGCAGAGATACTTTCGGTGATCTAACCGCAAGGAACTCTGGGAAGGAGAATGAGGTCTGTGCTGGGACAGCGCTTCCTGTGACAACACAACGAGTAGCAAATGTTTAAAGCGGAGAGGTCGTCGCCTGCGCACGCGCGGGAATTAACAACGTATGCTAAAACCGCAAATGCTCATGGGTAGACGCTTGTTTGAGAACAACGACACGCTATGGCCGTCTGCCGCTGGCGCAGGTGACGACTCCCCCGCATTAATTATGCATACTATAGGAAATGTGTACACTGGAATGTAATCTTATAATCAGTCAAGTGAGGTGGACTGAAACGAGAATCCAATTAAATAAGTGCAAGTACATCGTGTTTTTGTAAAGTATTTTCATGATCCGGCGACTGATAGGTTCAACTTGATGCAGGTTACACAGCACGCCTCAAATCTGGGAAGCGTGCCTTGATATTGGCATTGATCGACGAAAACAGAGCCGTATGTGGCATCCAGTGCCGCAATGTCAACGATTACAAAAGACTACAGTATACAGTTTTCCCGATAAGAACAGTACGATTCGACGATAGGTAATTCCACATCTCGAATAATCAATGTTTTCGAAAAGAAACCCGGCGCCAGAAAATGCGAATTCTTGATATCCAACATAGGTAATATTGATTTATTTGGATTTTTTTAAGTTTTGCGAATATATTGCTTATTGCTAAACAAGGTCATATGTGAAAAAAATGAGGACCTAATTTCAGATATTACTGTTTTGGGATTTTGGAGTTAATACATGGAAAACGACCTACTTAATTAGAAACGATCTTTTCGAATTGTTGTAAGTCGAGGTAATGAAATATTGCCTCTGTAACTTAATAAAAAATGAGTGGGAGTTAGTTTAGTTATTCTAATATTGTATACTTGTGAACTGATGAAACACAGGAATAAAATCTTATCAGTTTGTTCCAGTGGGGCACTTGTAAAGGTCACGGTACAGTATACTTCACGGCAATGAAGGCAAAGTGTACTCTAACCCAAATAACCATTACTCGAACAAGTTTCGATCAAATCGACTTAGCAATGTTTAGCAGTAATATTTTATTCTTGGATCTAAACAAAAACGATAATCTCAAATAATGGAGATATGTCAGAGTGGGGATTATTTATTGAGCTGATGTGTCATTAACAGAGAAGCCTGCGTGAGCGAACATCAAAACAGTCGTACCTTGTGCTGTGTAACTTAAATGCTTAGGAGAAGATGCAATTTTCATTTCGTCTGTTCTACAAATTTAATGAGACAGTTCAAGAGAATCATCTCCCCCGAAAGATTCCTTTATATTATCGAGCTTATTTTTAACGAATTTGAACAACTAATATGTAAACTCATGCCTGGTGTACAATCTGTGCCATTTCAAGTTGTCCTTAAAACGTCCTAGTTCGAGTTGGGAAATTGACCATTGGATCAGCTACGAATGCAGTAAATGTTTTAGAGAGTGAAAATCACACTGATTATTTTTATAGTAAAACTGTTTTGACCATTTCAAACCGCATGTTCTATGAAAGCTCATAATACACATTACTGTAAAATGACTAACTTTCACTGGATTTAAATTTCGCTGATTTACCATTTCAGGCATATTCAGTTGATTTTAAATTCACGGTTTTATCATTTAGATAATGAGTTCTATACTAAATTTTACATATTAACTGGGTTTTAATTTGGCTCATTTTCCAGTCAGTGAAATAAGCAAAATTTAAACTCAGTGAATAATAAACCTTTTTACAGTAATTGAAAATCTATGTTGCGTTAGACGCAACTATCGTGTGGTCATGTGACTGCTTAGTATATAAATCTTTTATTGACTATTTAAATGTGTAATGTGAAGAAATTAAAAGAGATATGTAGATATATGTAGGAATAGACACAAGAAACAAAACACCAACGGTGATCTTGGATAAAAAAAATTCTCAAATGTGTATTTTTGCATTTTCACTTTTTTTCATTTTCACATTTTTGCATATTCAGATAGTACTGAAATCTTAAGAATCCGTTGATTTTACAAAATCAAGTATTGTTCATAATGTTCAAGAAATCTGATGAGTGCCCCGGCCGCTGAATACTATATCTGTTCATGTACGTCATGATATATATAGATGCGAAAAGAAATGCAAACTACGGTTTTCCAAGAGTGCAAACAGTGTGATTGTACATAGTAATAGTTGTATTTTTAAATAATAACACATGTCTGTGAGGGTAATATCACGATGTGTTGCCTACCTAACTGATAGTAGTCATGACCATAATATTGATGATACCAGAGCCGAACATACATCCACAACGCACAATTGTATCTACCATACATATGCCACATCCGCTTTCTCACAAAATAACAACATTTAGTATGTGAATTATGGCACGTTCACTGTCTATTTTGGATGGCTAAAGTTTCTACAACCCCGAAAACAACAGCGACAGGGACAGCACCAGTGTAGGGAATGACAGTATGTTATGCGCAGTAGTTTCAGTGACGTCATCCATGTGATATACCATGTAATATCCACTGGGCGGAAAATATACCATGTCGTATGCATTTTTATTCAATGTCATGTGACCGAGTCTCAACCAATCACAGCATGCGCAACAACAATGAGATGTGATAAATGTGGCTAACCGCTACCCCTAACACAATGTTACTATACAATCGTGTCGAGCAATTTAGTTTTTTGGTGGGGAACTTTTGATATCGAGCCCATTATAAAACGCATGAGATTGTCCGCAGGGAAATCAGTTGATTTTCTAGCCTCTATAGATAATTGAATAAATTAAAAAACCTAATGAGTTAGTCATTTAATTACGTTTTACATTGTTGTTCGTGTCGCTGTATTGATGGCAGTCACCTCGTGGAACGCTTAGCGATGCATGCCCTGACGCACAGTGTGAGATGTGTTTGTTGTGTTACGCAACGACAACACACATTCAGAGTCTGCGTGCTTGCCTTTATTGAACAGCAAAACATAACTACTAGAATACTAATGTACTGATTAATGTTCCTCCCGAGGATTTCTAACGAAAATTGAAATTAAGTCTGTCATATTAAAGATAGCTAAATAGTTCGTTAGTTAGTTGCATGTAACGGTGTGTAGTCGTTTCATGCTGTTTTTTTCCAGCAAATCACTTCGCTGATTTCATTCGATATTATGATAAATTATGGATGTTTTTTCTCGAAAGGCTATTTTCGTCAAGACCGGCTTTTAATTACTCTGTAAACGAATTGTTCAAATAGCCATTGTACCAGAGTTACATTACGTGCGACGGAAACACGTAACTTTGTATAGACCGGTGTGACTAAGACGCTATAAATGGACGGCCAATCACATTATGTGTTGAGGCATGTCCCTGCCTGAATTTGTAGACAAAAAAGTTTGAATTGACGGCTGACCCTAGTCACAATACCTTATATATAAATTTACAATGAATGTTGGTTTTTTCAGACAGCATTGTTCCCAAGCGACGTCACCGAATGCTAGAACACGGACAGACAGCGGGACTTTGCATTGGGATATGCAAAATATGTCCACTCTCTGCCACGTACAGGCAGTTAGGCGACGTGCCCTGGATGTCAACGCTTACAGTTAATCGACTAACTTGCATGTATTTATTATTGTATCAAATACAATAGCGATATTAGCGGCTCTGGCCCGGTTTAATAGCCAGTCATGTCAAGCGTGACATTGTTACGCATACACACAAGGCCCACAAATTACAAGATCAATAGTAGCGAACTGTACTAGGCCAAATTGCTTTCACGGGAATTTGGAGTTCAACAACATAGCTTCTTTACACAGCGACAGCTCCATGAAAGGAACAAGCAGAAAGTGAAATAAGCATATCATTGTTTACACGATACCTTTTTACAACAACTGGACACTTAACAGAAACACCTACCGTATTTTCAATTCGTGACATTTTGCTTCGAGTAACAGGATGATATTATTTGACAAATTCGTATACTCTGTGTGTTTACACGTACCAGCCGCCTCAAATAGCATGACTTGGTGCTTTCTCGTATAGTAAACAGAATCCCTATGGACTAAGCGTTAATACCGCTTAGCTTGACACGAGAGTGTTCATCGCGGTGCTGGGTCTGCCTTTCAAAAATATCCAATGGGATACGTTGGCAACCATCGAGTTGGCGCGCGTGTTGGCGTATGGTAGGACATTGCACGATGATGATTAGTTTATGCGGGTCCGTTGCTTACAGACAGACTTTCGATTAGAACGACGCGCCAAAGGCGGGCTCAGTAATTAGCGAGCCGTCGTATGCCCTGTTACATGCTAGCGAGAATAAACGTAAAAATATGTTTCTTACCGTTAATATACGATACATAAGTTCCTGAATACCACGCTGTAAAATACGGCGACTACATGCGCAGTTCAGTTACCTGCAGGAGGTGTAGGTCAAGAAATAGGGTGGATATAATCCCTCAGCGTGATCAGTCGATAATATGGTAAATGCCAACTCAGTCAACATTTTTCGTGACGGGGTTACGCATAGTTGCAGGACAAGAACATTCACAAGTGTACACCCCCAGTAAATAAATTGGGAGTGCCCGAGTTTCCATTCAGTGGCTTGAAACGATGGATAAAATGGAGAATGCGTTTATACCTCGAGTCTTTGTCCTAGAACAACGAAGGCGTAAATATAGCGACGGTAATTACCCTGAATGGGTCGTCTCTGCACTCTGATTATGACAATAGAGTCACTAAGTGCGGACAAACAAAGACACGTTACGCATAAGTCGGGATCTGCTAAAGTTTTGAGAAAGAACACGTACGAATGACATAAATCATACTACACACTCAACACCTCCGGTCTCATTTATGTTATTTTGTCCGAGTCGAGATCATGATGCTTCAAAACAAAATGGCATACCCATTTCTCCTATACTACAAGTTCTTATTGCAGTGTTCCGCATGTTTTTATCATCATAAACAATAAAGCACGAGTTTTTTACTACATAAGTAAAACTGGAAAATGTACAGCATCGAGTTTTACATGCATTCAGAACAGTCATTAGTAACGCAGTCATACTCTTTTTGAAAATAATAAATTACAATTAGGCAAATGGGAACTGAGATCGCGATATCGATCCTAACATCATGCTTCCGGCACTGATGAGATTCGTGATTAATTTGTTTTTTCGAAATATATCATACATACATATACCTATACGAGACTATCACATTGCACCGTGACGAAACAATCACATCTCCACTGCGCCCCCGCTGAAAAGTTAATATTGGGTATTCAATCTTCTGGTAATGTATTTATATATATGACAGAGGACAGTAAACGTAATGTCAAGAAATTGCACCCAGTGACAATCGTTATAGGCAGGTAAATATGTCTTTATGTTTTTTACAAATCTATATTTTCGGATAGTACGCCGTTAGTCTTTGTGTTAGTGAATAACTAACTGCGAACACCGAATACATTTCATATTATTCAATAACATTTGCATAAACAGCTACCGTTCCTTTTTTCTAGGCGTGTTGATGTTAATTTCCATAAATAGAAAATTGTTTCTAATGATTTATGTATATAATAGACATTACTAGTTCGCGTTAAATGTTCTCCGATAATAAGCAACGCAGCAGTTTCTGTTTATTGGACAGAAATTTGTTATATGTGATCGATAACAAATAATAGTTGCAATAACAAAAAATTATGGTCTGTGTATGCAATCAATTCAACGAAGATTTTAGTTGGGGAACATTTTAACAAGTGTTATCGCAACACAAGAACAATTTTCCAGAGCATTCATGGCATTAGCAAAACGAGTTTCCTGTAATGAACCGACAAACATATTTCGATATTGATGTATTTCACTTTGACAGCGAAAACTTAAATGCTTCGTCGATAACGAGGTGGATTGTTCATTTCCTCTTGTATTGAGGGAAGATAGCATGTAATAGAGACCTGTATAATTTTCAACGATGGTTCTAAGACTTATTAGTTTACCCAACCTTGAAAATAATCGACATCTCTGCGATGATCATACATACATGTGATCCTTTGATTTATATGGCAATGTCGTTAATCCCTCTGGGTAGTAGCCCTTTTATAAATATCAGAGGTCATTTTGTGTCCAATTTGCGCTCAGCTGCGGCTTCTCGTGGGTACACATTCGTTGCTCTGCACACGGTACACTTTCGACTATCATATGTCCTTGTTAACAGTGTTCTGGTAAAAATTAGATAGGCTGGTGCATATAACAGAGCAAACAGGCCGTGAAAAATTATACTTTATTTTGCCAATTGTAATACGGATGTTTGTGCTCACGTTAATGGGTTTCTGTGAAAAATGATACCAGCAATTGTCAGGCAGTGGACACAGAAAGCGCTTTTACAAACTTGCACGTTGTTGACGCGCATCGCTAATTCATATATTATGTGTAATCTGTGTGTTCCACCATATGTGTAGTAATATAGAACTCAATGTGTTTGAACTATTTTTTTATTGTGGTTATTATTTAAAAAAAAAATACTCGAAGTAACTTAAATTTGCAACACACACGTAATTGTTTTTTTTCTGGGCACTATAAAACACTTGATTTTAATTTTTAATCAACTGATGTTATACTTTTTTGGGGAGGTACCTGGTCATTTTTTTAATAAGAGGAATCAGATATGCAGATATAAATATCACGTCACCGGCTCTGGGGGACTGTCATATGTTCAAACGTTACTTTCTTTCTTGCAGTTATTTGCATTAGGATAAGTCTAGGCCAGGTTCCAGGTGATATGTTATATGAGAACGTGCTTCAACTGACTCGGAGGTAATTAATGATTGTTCGATAATATATTTGATGAAATATCGATAGATAATGGTAGCTTTTTAAGAGAGTGCTACACTCGGATATAAGAACACAAATGGTACGGAGGCATGAAGCAGAAATAGCTTTGAAATAGACAGCACGTTGATCGTATTAACCGTGGTCCCATGTGAGGTATATTGAACTGGGACACTATACTCATACGGAGTTTAATTTCACGCAGATCAATGGATAACCGTATTCGAACGGAATATATTTACTAAAAAACGATGTCACGAACAACTCAAGATGAAGTAATTTAGTGGCCTCCATTTAATTAAGCTGAAAACAGATTTCAACTGGTCAATGGGCAATGGTAATTTTAGCAATTACCGCCATGAAATTATTTGCAAATCCGTGACGAGTACGCGGCAATCGCATTACGCTTGTTGCGAGTACATGTACTGATTCGCATTCTATGTTCATTGAAATAGGAAATAGGAAAGACAATTTACCTACCTACGATCGCTTCATACCAGTGACCCGGGTATCTGAACTGGCGTCGAATCGTGGCGCTATTCCAGAGCGGCGAACCTTCAAAAGATAACACTCTTCTGGACTAACGCTGGACTAGTACTCGCATCGTAATGTCGCCACGTGTTACTGCAAACGAATTATTAAATATCATTCATACTGCAATTCTGAAATATATCACATTACACGATTAAACAAATCATCGTGCTTTCACGTAGATGTTATCGTGAGTGATAAATTGGGCGTTTCTCGATCTTTGAAACGTGATATGGGCCGCACTAGTAATATCAATATATCTTAATGAAATTACAAATGCAATCAATCATATACCGTCAAACAGCCGCTAATGCAATTTTCGTTTATTTCAGCGAGTTTGCAGTACGTGTGTCAGCGTGTGTTTTCTCATTGATTCCACGCCTAGGGCATATTTCGCAAGTACTTCGCGCGCAAATGTAGATTAGGAGATTAATTTGTCCCAATAAAGACATATCAGCTGTATGTATTATAATTATAGAAATAAATCTACTTACAAAATGCATTCAGCGAATCCTGTCAACAGTCATGCATTTTTTCAATTGAAATATGCCATAAAAACCGTATAACAACATATTATATCATATCTTGTTAATATACATTTGTCACCGTAACGCCATAAGTGTACCGTAATTTTGCGGTATTTTACAGGGTATTTTCGTCCTACCAAATATAGAATTATTATTACGGGCGTAAGTGTCCTCTAATAATAAAAACTAACATGGCTGCCACCAGAGTTTGGCCGGATTGAGAGAGACCTAGCTCGAGCCATTCCATTAGAGCGCGTCCGTTCCATTACAGAGCGTTCCATTAGAGAGCGGTCACGTGACGCGTGATCACCCGACAAGTGCTGTATACACGCTCTAACGGAAAATACCGTTAGGTTTAGCGAATTTACGAACCGTTACGAAAGAGTTTGCTCGTTCGAAGACCGTTTTTGTAAAAGCGACAGCCTTGGTCGATACACTGTTCATTTACACAATCTTTCCTGGCACCATACGCACTCACACTGTTAGCGGCGGAGTGAAACGCGCCCATGTCATGCCATTAACCGATTACTGACGTCTATGTATTTCATGTCTTTGGCATGAAAGCTATAAAATATATAAAATACAATGCCTTGCTATCGTTTGAACATTTCAAATATTTAATTAGTCTAGCGTTTTTTTTTTGTTCATTCCATTGG